AATGATTTATTATATATATACCTCATCATAAATCTCAAATACAGGCATTATCATTTGTGCTAATAAAGTACTTAAAGCATATTGTGCTCCAATTATAATTCCAAAAGATGTTGTTAAAAATATAAATGGTTTATCTGCAAAATATGAAATAAACACTGTCAATGATACAACCGACTTACTATCATATCATGTATATGATTATATGTGTTAATAAAATTATATGTAAATAAATATTAATAAAATCAATAATAATCGTTAATTAACAAACCTGTTGGATGATGAATGTGAAGGTGAAGATCTAAAAACCAAGACCAAAAATAGATATATAAAAGTACATACACCACATTGTATTAAAAGATATTTTGGAATATCATATTGTGCCGTTTCCTCTTTAATCATAAATGGAAGAACATCAATATTGTCACAAAATCTAATCAAGAAGGAACATATAACAACAAGTCGTCGTCGCTGGATAGTGTTATTAGGCTTTTCACTATTAACGTTTTCTTCAGCTTGTCTCTGGATAACATTTGCACCCTGTCTTTACATTTTTATGCACCATTATTCACAAGCAACACCATCATACATCAATTCATTATCAACAATATATATGATCATGTATCCAATCTTGCTACTGCCATCTCTTAAAATTTTTGCTGTTTGGGATTTACACGGTGGACTCTTGTTTGGGGCCTTTTTAAATTCGCTTGGATCGTTTGTACGTTTTTTGGGATCATTTGGACCTCGTGGATTTTGGGTGTTGTTTTTAGGCCAGACTATAGCAGCCTCAGGACAAGTATTTATATTGGGTTTACCGCCAAAATTGGCTATAACATGGTTTGATCATGGTGAACAAAATTTGGCTGCTTCTATTGGAATTATGGCAAATAATGCAGGAGTGGCTGCTGGGTAAGAATAAAAATAAAATTAATATATCTGGATATATATATATATATATTTATATATATCTAGATAACGAAAGGTAAATAATACTTACGATGAGATAATATATAGTTTCTTAATTTGTTAAAACACTATACTATTTCTATTTTTATTTCTTTCTTTCTTATATTTTTTAGATTTTTGTTGTCTCCATTTATGATTAAAGAGGAAACGGCACAATATGATATTCCAAAATATCTTTTAATACAATGTGGTGTATGTACTTTTATATATCTATTTTTGGTCTTGGTTTTTAGATCTTCACCTTCACATTCATCATCCAACAGGTTTGTTAATTAACGATTATTATTGATTTTATTAATATTTATTTACATATAATTTTATTAACACATATAATCATATACATGATATGATAGTAAGTCGGTTGTATCATTGACAGTGTTTATTTCATATTTTGCAGATAAACCATTTATATTTTTAACAACATCTTTTGGAATTATAATTGGAGCACAATATGCTTTAAGTACTTTATTAGCACAAATGATAATGCCTGTATTTGAGATTTATGATGAGGTATATATATAATAAATCATTCATTTAGAAGGTATTTTAAAATCAAAAAAATTAATTTGTTGCACTATTATAATTTAGACAAAAATAGGTATATTAGGATTTTCAATAGTAGTAGCAGGTGTAGTTGGATCGTTTGTTATTGGCATATATCTTGATCATTCATTTGCATACAAACGTTCATGTCATGTTTTATACATTGGTACAATAATTGCCCTTGGTATATTTAATATTTCTTTAAAAAATGAAATATTAAGTTTAGCATTTTTATCAAGGTAAATATTATTTTATTTTTTTTGTGATATTTGATAAAAAAAATTTTTTTTATTTTAGGAAAATTACTAAATTATTTTAATTTTTTTTTTAAAAAAAGCATATGTTTTGGAATATTTTCTTTTGGTAAGTTGTTAAACAAAATTAATTAATGAATTATGATTTTTTTTTTATCCAAGAAGAATCAACAATGTAAAAAATTATGTACATAAATATATGCACACAAATCTACCTTTTAGCAATACCTTCTGCAATATTTCGATATGCGACACTTGCCACATCTATGAGAGAAGGTGAGGATGAAATAGCTAGCACAAGCATATTAAATACATCAGCACAAATATGGGGAATATTATTGGTAGCATTGATGGACATTGCAGAGAATAATGATAAAATATTTACAATGGAATTATCAAATTGGATGTTGTTTACAATTTTAGTGTGTGGTGCAGCTTTATTGTGGGTGATGGATGACGATAGAGTAGCAAGGAAATTAAATGTTGATGATGAATATGTTGAGGTTAATGTTAGTGGTGGCAGTGGTGATGGAAATAATAGAAGTAATATTTGTAGTAATGATAATGATAGAGGAAGTGACGAAGAATTGGAAATTCTTGAAGTTATGCAAGAGGAATGATAATAAATAAATCTTTAAATATAATTCACCAAATCATTTAAAAAAATTTATAATCAAGATAATTAATTATTCCAAATCTTTTGCTAAACTTTGATCTTTAGCAATTATGTTTATTGTATCATTAATTTTTTTTAATAATGATCCTTTAATTTAATCAAAAGGAACAATTAGTAAATAATTTTTTTAATATGTACACAATAGAATAATAATAACATTAATATAACAAGTATCTTTTAAAATTAAAAGTTACCAACCAGCATTTTGAACCATTTTTAAATATTCCCTATTTGCTTCTTGTAACTCTTCTTCTAATGATTTAATAATATCAGTCTAAAAAAACAAAAAATTGAATGCATATATAATATATTGAAACATAGTATATTTTTAAAAAAATGTTGATATAGTAATAATATATATTTTATACCTGTTCTTTTTCACTATATTTTATACCAGGTAAATTTTCTATTAATGTATCAATTTCTTTTGCTTTTTTACAAAGATCTTGAACAATTAATTCTCTATCCTCTAAAATATTATTATTATTATTATGTTAATTTGAAATCATCATCAATTTGTTATTGTTATTGTTATTATTATTAAGCAAGTACCTTTAAGCTTTGGTGCGTCATGGTTTTGTGCTATAATAATTCCAATAAAAGTTGATTGATTGATTAAATAAACAAAATATAATAACAATTTCAAATCATAATTATTGTTACTTACATATTATCACTTACGTTGATTTAAATGAACAATACTGGTATGAAATAATTGAGCCAACTTTATAAAAATTTTATATAAAAATTTTATCAATTCTCAAAATTCTCTGAAAAAATAACTATACAAACTTGATCTATTGCATCTTGTAATTGTGTAAGTCTATCCATATTCGAAGTAGCCTCAAGTACAGATTGTTGTTCTAAGGGTAAAGAGTTTTGCATGCCCTACAAAAAGTTTAGATACTTAATTTCTATTTTTTTTTTTAATATAAAACGTACTTGAATTATTCAAAACATTAACAAAAATAGGGCGTACTGCAAACCAAGGTGAAGATTGCTAATCCCATTCGAAGCTGTCGATCTCTAGGAACCAGCTAACCATGACCCAATTTAGGACCCCGGAAACTACATTGATAGGTTACCCTAAAATTTTCAACATCTCATTGGCTAATTGCAAGGATCCCTAACATAAATAGACAGCAGCATCACGTGAGTATATGGATCCTTACTAACGAGATCATCCAACCTTCATTATTATGCATATATATATATATTACAGCATTAATACTGATAAACTCGATTCCCATTCCATTTAGAGATAGAATGAAAACAGATATAAGTATGTGTATATACGCATTAGAGGGAGAGGAAGATCCCAAAGAACATATGGATATGACAGTACGTGAGAGGTTAATAGGAGAAGAAATTATCCCGTCGTGGACTCGAGGATGATGGAGTCACAACCTCGTGGCTTGATACTGACGAGAAATGGAAAAAACAACTACCATACTTCAGGAAAATGGTATGTTATGGTAATCTAAAAACAATGGACATATTAGAAGGCGCAAGAAATCATATCTATCATACTATAGATAATAAATTTTTAACAAATCTTTAATAGGGGGATTTTTGCATCCTTCTAAAGAGAAATTATAAAAATTTAGATTGAAATTAAACCAGATTGTGCCCTCTCTCATGTTTATACCAAATTTATCTTTTGTTTTTCGTACCATTTGTTAAAATGACATGATTTGCACAATACCCTGTACAAGAAAGATAATGTAAGTATATTGCAGATTCTACAAGGAGCTTTTTTCAAAATTTTTTCATATGAATTCCAATGTTTAGAACAACCTGATAAACGAGTACAAATATTCACACAAATTGAACCATCCTTTTTAATATGTTGACAAGTTACACGCTCCATAAGAATTTTGATATATGGATGATATAAAAGTCTTTCACTTTTAACATGTATTATTCTAATTATAGAAATGCGATTGATTATACAAAAATGCAATAAACGTTTCAAACAATTTTAGTAGAAACATATCCCTATTTATACTGAATATATTAGGCACCAACTGTGTTCAAAAAAAAAAAACAAAAACTTATAATTCAAAAACAATTGTGTGATTGCATGGTTCAGCATGTAATAAATTGATACATGATGGGCACATACATTGGAAAGAAGAAAAACCTTTAATCCCGCCAATTCACGAAAAACAAATATTGGGAAAATACCTTTCTTTTGCATCTAATAAGATTTGGAAATTACATATAATCCAGAAAAAAAGTTTACTTATGTTGATTAACGAAAAAAAAAAAATTTATTACAAATTTTACTTGAAGTATATAATAACTAAAGACAAATTACCACGGGATAATATGAAACAATACCTCTGAAAAAAACTCATTAAGAAATTCAATCACACTTTCCGGAAACAATTTATCGACAGGCTTAAAGATCTCTTTTAGAACTTGCATGTAATCATCCTCGTCTGTATATTTTAGAACAAACTCTGAAGATGGAGTAAGTTCCATAATTTCATTTCGTTTTAATTCATTGATGGGATTCGTTGCAATATTTTTGAAAAAAATCCACTAAAATTTTCATTTTTTCTGAACTACGTAATTCGTTTAAGAGGTTTTTAACCTGACCGTGATCGTTATCATTCTGTAAAATTCATTTAATTGATTATATATATATATATGTACACAAAGGATTGTATAAAACTATATACCTACCGAATCATTCATCTTTCCTTCATCACCTGTTTCATCAATTTTATAAAATTTTGGTTTTTCTTGCTCAATACAATGATCATTTGGATGTTCTATAAGTGGAAGACACACATTGTTAATTACCTTTAAAAAATTGTATATTAATAATATTAAATACCTTACCCGATTTTTATCATTTTCACTTAAAAGTTCCATTTGTTTCGATAGTTCATTCTCCTGATATGAAGCAGAAGTGCTCATCACTTTTAAGGTACTTAATTGTATGTCGACATTTGTATTATACTGTTTAATAATATACAATAATATTAGATGAATTCATAATTGAAACATATTCATCAATCATTGATACTTGCTGTCGTTTTGATATTTATTTCTTTTCAAATTGGTCCAGAATTCAGGGCATTTGAATCCTTAAATAAAAAAAATGAATTATTTGTTAATTTCGCTTTGTTTATAATTTTAAAGTTGGTGCTTGCCATACATTATACCAAGGACGCGACCTAACTCCAGGAGTTAACAGGGACGTTACCTGCTCCCAGTGGTATGAATGTATAACCAGCACTCTGCATGCACCGAGGAACGCTACCTAACTCCAGGAGTTAACAAGGACGTGCTACCTGCTCCCAGCGGTACAACTACAGACTAGCAAGAATTACTAGCAACTAATTTTTTTTCAAAATAATTAAAAATAATTATTGACCATCCTAATAAGAGCAGATGCAACTTCACGTCTCTCATCAATTTTATCTTTTTCGAGATCTCTCAGATGGTCATTAAAACGCTTCTTCTACGTCGATTTCAATGTGCTTATTTTAGCGCGGTTACTGAAATAAGGCTCTATGGCCTCAAGATACCCAGAATATGGCCAATTATTCGTAAGAGTTAACGTAAAGTATTTCTCCCTGCAATAAATGATAGCTTGTATTGTGACGATGACATTATTAAGCGTGAAAGTAAAAATAAATAAACAGCAGATCTTTTATACATCTAAAAGAAGAACACCACTTCGTCATAATAATAATAATAACGTAAATTATATCAAAAGAAATTCACAGCCTACAGGAAAAAAAATGCTGGTGTTAATTCACTCCCTATAAGAGAAAATGCAAATATTGCTAATTTTGTTAGTTCATTATCTACTGAAGAAGAAGAATCAACACTCGAGTCTTTTTTTGAAATAATTGATCTAGAAAGTCGCGATGTGGCATTGAAAAGAAAGGAATTGTCAGAAGAATCTTTATATAGATTTTATGTACAAAAAATTTGCTGATGTTCTTAAAAGTGACCTGATGAGTAATGGCAAATACACAATCCAAAATTGATTACTAGAAGAACAGAATTCTAAACTTATAGTCGAGATTACTGAACTGAAAAGGGAGAAAGCTGAACTATTGGCTAAGGAAGCAGGACTTGTGGCTAGAATAATAGGATTAGAACAAAATGCTGAGAAAGCAAAAGAAAATGATGAGTGATTTGCAAAATTCATAGTTTGTATCTTTGCCATGTATTTTTGAGGAAAGAATCATTTAGAACAACCAAACCTGGATGATGGGGAACCTCTTCTGAAGTTGACTGCAATAGTGGTTCAACAAGTAAGTTGAAATGATTTAGGTATGGTCTTTTTTATTTGGTAATTTAGGTATGATTTTTATTATATTTAAATTATTCAGATACATGTATTAAATTTTAAAATCTTAATATTAATATATGATATATTGATAAGTACATAACTTCAATTTGTTAATGCTATAAAAAAATGAAACATTGATTTGAAAAGATAAGAAACAAACAATACTGCAGTTATGTATGTATGATAACAGTGATTATTAAAAATTACATTTATTTTTTTTTGTAAAAAATCATTATTTTTTATTTAGTGTACATATTTGACATCTGAATTTCAAAAAGAAAAAAAAATCTTTAAAGATGTTATTATATAATATCATGACTCAAGACATTTAAAATAAATAAATAATTTAATACATAAAAAGTGACAGGATTTAACTTATTCAGGTAAGTCATCTGGTATAGCTAAATCAATTTGTTTAGAATCTACAAAGTATTTTATCACAAGAATGGATATTAATAAATATTGTTAATGTTAATAAAAATGAAAATAGTCAATGATTGAATATTAATAATTACCATTATTATTACTAATAATTGTTACTTTATTGGAATTCACAGGTTGGAGAGGTTTGTAAAATTTAATAATCTGCTAGTATAAACAGCATTTGGATGAATTACTGTGGTAATTGTTGAAGGATCAAATTTTATTTCATCCATTTTCTTAAATTCTTTTCTAATTGATTCATCACCTGACTTATAGTAATAAATTGAATCATACCAATAACCAATAATCTTATAAATTTCTACAGCAGTTGGACGTTTATCTGGATTAGCATCCATGCATTTGAATGCTAGTTCAATATAGAATTTTGGTGTATTGTTTGAGAAACCAGGTCTTGCACCTTTACATATTTCCATTGCAAGATATTCATCATGTGCTAAATTATTAAATAGTTGTTGGCTAGTTGATACTACAGACATCATCTGATGCTTTTGTATATGGTTTCTTTTTTAAAACTTCTGGTGCAATATATGGTAGTACTCCACATATATCATTTTTGTCTGATGATGATGTTTGACTAGATGTGCATGATAATCCTAAGTCTGCAATATATGAAACATTTCATTTTGAAGAATATTACCACTATGAAGATCATGATGAATGATTCCTTTTTCATGAATATCATTTAAACCTTTAATAATGTAATAAAGAATATCAATTTTGTCATTCCATTTTAAATTTTTAAAATTTTTAGTTAAATAATTTTGAAGACTTCCATCCTCCATATATCTCATTACAAATATATATTCTTTTGTAATTGGATCTTGTGTTAATCCATAAATATGAATTATATCATTTTTATCATAAAACTTTATATAATTTTTGAACTAAATAATAAATAAAATATTTAATTACAACAATAACAATTGATAATATTTAAAAATCAGAAAATAAATAGAAAAATAAAATAATTTATCTCATTAAGAAATTCATCAGAAATATTCTGTGAATCATGTAGTTTTTTTAGTGCCACAGTCCTATCTTTACTAGTTTTTTCATCACAATTTATATATTTCTCACCATTTAACCAAATAGCTTTGGATATAGTTGCAAACCTACCTTCACCTATCTTTTCAATATTTGTTAAATCATTATAAGGAATCCATTGAAGATAATATTTATTATCATGATATTTTGCTTTAAGTTGTGTACTTTTAATCAATTTGTCTAATGTTTCATTGCCACTAGTCCATCCTTCAGTTAATAGCTTTGGATCACATGATTGACACCATGAATAATAGGTATTATATATTGCATGTTGGACATTCTCCATAATTTTTATTTCTTTCCTTTGAATATTCATTGTTTTTATCAGTAGAAGTATTGTTATGATGCTTATTTTCATCCAAAATGTTTTCCATTGTGGTATATTTGTAAAAAAAAATTTTTTAAAGAACTTTTTTTTTCAGCCATAAATATGTATCACAAAAAATATATTAATATTAAATATATTTAGATTTATCTAAAAAAAAATTAAAATTTTACCTGAACTACAGCAATTCAGCATTGACACCCTAAAGTCATAAAACTGTAATAAATATTGCAAGCATGTGATCAGAGTTATTGGAGTCACCAAATATGGCAAACTAAATTAAAATCACTATATAAAACTATACTGCTTGATTAGGTTTCTATTCAAATAGAGTTCATTCAAATTATTTGTTTTACTCGCTATGAATTTGGATATTCGAATAAAATGAATAATGAATGATTCAATAATTCAATAATTCAAATAAAATGAATGAGCAGATAATTCAAATAACACAAATAAACAAATAAAATAAATAATTCAATCGATAGTTAAATGATAATTCGAATAATAAATGAATGACGACAATTCGAATAACGAATGGTAATAATTCGAATAATAAATGAATGACGACAATTCGAATCATAAGAAATAATTTTTAAAAACTAAAATTACGTGAAGTCCTGTTTTTTGAAAAATTTTGAACGAATTACAAAATTGTTATTTTTCGAAATTGTTTATATGGCGCAGCAATAGGAGGTCTTTAGACCGAGCAAACCATATAGTAATAATATTATTATTAATAAAATACTTTAACCAGCTCTAACACATAGATTTTATTTGTATTGTTTATCTCTATTGTCACTTGATTACAATCTGTAGATCTCACACTGGCTATCTTTAAATATGATTTCATACAATCATTATTGTTATTATTGTTAAGAAGCAAATAATTCACCGTGGACGTTTTCAAACGGAGGATAAAGCTACCTGACAACTTTTGGTCATTCTGAGCAGAGCAATATGAAAGATCATTCATTATGTAGCTAAAACGAAACACAATCTCCGATTAAGTCACCAAATATCAGTGTTTGAAATATTTGAACTTTTGAGCCGTTCCTTAATTGGTTAAATAACTTTGCCGATCATTCAAAGGTAATCAATTTGTTGTGAATACAAGAAAGGGTAGCATTTGCGTACCATTTTTTCAAATGACGTTATCAAAAGTTTATAATAAAATAGAGGGAAAAAAGTACTTTTTATAAAAATTTATCAATTCCGCCTATGGATGCACAACTAACTTAAAAGCCGATAGGAGGAATCATATGTGGCAATAAAAGATTACTATTTAAATAATTAGATCAAATGTTCTTTGAACTGGTTATTATTTACTGACGGTTCAAAAGTCGCTGCAAATAGTAAAAAGATTTCTTGATGTAATGAGATTTTTATTAATTAAGAAACTTTTCAACGGAATATATTATTATTCTATACTATAATATACATGGAAAAATTAAAAATAAATTAGGAGGCCAAGGCTTCTTTGATACGTCGATCGAAATCTTCTCGAGTATCTATAATAATAATAATTAATTTTTAATGAAATCAAAAAACAAAATAAAAAATCAAATGAAAAAAAGAAATTTTTTTTTTACACACCACAAACAAGAGAAACTCCTCGAGAGAAAACCAAAGGTAATGGGTAACAATTTGTTCCTTCTGCACATTGAGAAATTGCCCAAGTATTTACTACATTGCCATCATTGTCTAATGTTTCATGACATTTTGCAAAATTTCCATCAATACAAGCAACGTTGTCTGGTTCGCAAGGTGTATCTGTTGTGAATGTTTTGAATTTTTCGAATAATGCTTCAGCATCTACTCCATTTTTATGTTGAACTGATTCTGCATCAGCAAATAAGAGGAAAGTTGTGAAAACGAGTAAAGTAACTAGAAAAACTTTTGATGCGGAAAATTTCATTTTCGTGAGAGATGGATGATTTATTATTTTATTTGTAAAATTAAATTTTTTCTATTTATTTCACAAGAATGAGATAATTGATTTCTTTTGACGACAAACTTTTTACGATCTTTTTATAAGTTTTTTTTTAGATTATTAATTAATATAAACTTAAAAAATATCATGTCAACGAATAATTTGTTTTTATTTATAATAGCTATTGTTTGTTGTTTGTTACTTTAATTATCTATGAGTGGCATGAAAAAACAGTAGTAAATATTTAAAAAACGCTATCCCGCATACAATAATGATACTAATGTGGCAAAAAAAAACTACCGATATTCAATTATTACACTAATATGAAATTCAATCATTCATTTGTGCGTTGCGTCTGTTGACGTTTACGAAACTTTAACTGATAACATTGGTCTCTTAGCGTTGGTGTAAAATAGTGTACAATGTCGATATTTTGATTTGGTAAATTTTCTATATCATATTTATAAATCAACGAGCCAATGATTAATCTCATTTCCATCATTGCAAAACTGCAATATAATTGTTTAAAAGAAAGGTTAAAAATTTTTGGATTAGATTCACACAAATAAATTAAACGAAAAACAAATACTTACTTTTGTCCAATACAATTTCTCGCACCTAAGATAAAATTTTTTGTTAAAGATGCAGGGGTGTATTATATGTTATTATAGGATGGTACAAAGGGATGAAAAGTGAAGTGGTTTTTTAATTTTTGCACAAGAATCTAATTTACCTGCAGAAAATGGATAAAACGAGTCCTTTGGTAATTTGTCAATATCGAACCATCTTTCAGGAATAAAATTTTCCACATCTGCTCCCCAATATTCAGGATCATGATGCAGCGTATAATAATTTATCATTAAATTTGTCTTTTTTATTTTCGAAGAGAAAAGAGAAAATAAGATTTAGTAATA